GATTTAAAATATTCTGTTCCAAGCCTCTTCTATGTCTTGTTATAATGGACATTTGTTGTTTCTAAAATTGAATTTCCTAGCCATGTGGTTGGTGTGGGTCCTAACGGTCTTCAGCCATAAGTATGTGCTACTCTAGGCTGCAATTCAGGAGAGAGAACTTATTGAAATCTGGCTCATTAAGCCAAGGTGACATTATTCTGCAGCTGGCTTGAGCCATCAGGGAAGTGGACTTTTTTATTTGCTAGATTAGAACCTGAAAACATATACCTGGAAGTATCTACTTTCTAAACATGAAGGGACAGCTCATTCCAAAGCCCATGTTTAAAGATTTAACTAAGACACAAAGCATATACAATTGGCTGCACCCATTATACTAGGGATGGCAAACTCAAATGCATTCAGGGGCCAGGCCAGCACATAATGTGGAAACCTGCCGGATGTGATATAATAGGGAGTGGTGGAGAAGAGACTGCTGATCTTTTCTGAGTGCATATAAATTACAACGAAAACAAATATAACACTGTGTCGGTCAAACAAAACTGCTGACCTTAGGTCTGCTATCTACGTTAAATTCATTGGCATTGTATTGGCCGCCAAGTTTCCACCTAGCTCTAAAATGAACCTCAGAAGCCTCTATTAACCTGACCCTAAATAATTCCTCTTTAGTAAATCTCATACAACCCAGTCATGTTTTTAATCAATTTGGGTTGCTACACAGTCTCCTTTTCCCTACTTAGGTAGGTCTAAGGATTAATTATTTAAGCTGCTGAAAACATCTTGTTACATGAAAAACAACTGGGAGTAAATAGTATCTACACTTTCTAATTGCCATTGTCTTTAAGCTAAAGAAACAAAGCCAAATTTATGGGGCTAACTACCAGGCTATCAAAGGAATATCTTTACCAGGGCTGTTTGTTCGAGGGCTCAGGAGTTTCCTGGCACAGCTCCAGCCAATATGCTTTGACTGGCTGGAGTTTTTTAAGTTTTTATATCTAATAGAAATCATCCATATGTCCCACATCTTGAAAAATTTCCAAATGCACCAGTAGTATGGAGATCAGTTTAGACATTTTTAAGTAAAGTGGGAACCGAATAAAGTAGAAATAAGTTAATTTACAAAGAAGTGAGGCTATTTCTGATATTTATTTTTTGAAATTGGAAAATGATGGGGAGTTTCTTAACAGAGACCTGTGATGTCTAACAAACCTTTCAAATCTGAGTTTAGGTTCCAAGTGAACTCTTCTAAAGAATTAACAGTCACAGCTTGGAGGTACCAATCCAATAAAATAAAACAAAACAACCTCTCTTCCCCCTAATTGGCAATAGAGAAACAGGCAAAGATTTAGTCATTTAAAGCCCATTCTGAGTGTAGTTTGCTGCTTTAAGTAAAAGAGAATCTTTTTCTTATTGGCTAAAGCCAGTAAGATAAATGGAAGTCTCTTTGTTTTCTGTAGACTATTTATAGACTTTAAAACAATACAACAACAAAACCCCCCAAACTCTGAACCTACTTATTTACTATAATTTCTATTGACTTACTGTCAGTTGGACTTTGAAGGCACAGAAAGAGCTGTGAATTAGGTCTACCACGAAGATTGCTGGTACTCAACAACTTGGGATATAAACAACTGAAATGCATAAAGTTAGGAACAGCTCCCAGTATAATCACCAAAAGCTTAATATTCTAGCAAAATAAAAGCATTTTTCCTTATCAAGTGTAAAAATTATAAGAATTTCCTATGGTCTGGAACCACAGGGAGGACCTTACTACAGGAGCAGGTGGAAGAGCTAATTTTTGCCTGTGATTCTTACTGGTGACAGGATGCAGATGGGATTAAAGCTCTCCTTCCCGTCACTGCCCACTTGAGGTTCACACTGAATTGCACACATTGGCATCTGTTCCTCCTTGCCTATCAGATTTGTTTTCAGGGGATCTACTAAGCTGTCTCAGAGAAATACTTTTTTGATTTTATCTTTTATATATAATAATAAAATTCCATGCATCCAGGCAACAAATATGCATTGAGCACTCAGTCTGTGTTCCAGAAGTCTGAGGACAGAGCAGTGAACAAAACATACAAAATGATCAATAAATAACTCTCATACCCCCTATTTGGGGAATGAGATTAGATTCATTCAGGGAATGAAGCAGTTTGCTAAGAAAATGTTGCTTCTAAGCAGAGTACTTAACGCTATGCAAAAGATCTCCATGAACACACACACAAGACAAACTGTGTCTGAATTTAATAGTTGAAATTTCAGTGGCTGAAATAATAGCAAAGTGGACCCCACAAGATATACTACCTCAATTTTAAGTCAGTGAAAACTAATAATTCACTTTTTAAAAAGGATTACTTTTACAAATACATTTTTGGATAGCAGCTACCCTTCTACTTTCCTGATAGACATAAGTTAATGCAACTTGGGAGACAATCCAGCAGGCCGGACATATTAGCATATGAGTATGATTTTGATGAGCCAGGGATTGCAGAATACAATCTTCAGGTTCCATAAGGTGACGGTGTAATGAAAGCAAGACTTATCCCCACAAAACTTGGTCTAAATTCCACATTAGGAAATGAAACTGCTGGCTCTAGCTAGGTTACATTTTCTGAAAAGGAGCACCACAGTAGGTTCAAAAGTAAGGAGTGCTTCTAGCAGTGACAACTTTTCAATGATTTTGCAGCCATCCCCACCTCCTGTGGACAAGCTTAAAGTCAAGGGCTCAAAGTAAGGTGTTGAGTGCTAGAAACAGGGGACTGAGGTGTTGGGAAATTTAATTAGCATGTGTGAAAATAAAAGGGCTCATAGCTGAAAGCCACCCAAAGTGTGAAGAGTTATGATTGCTTTTTGAGAAACTCCCATTTCTCAAGAGTGAACAAGTCTGGGGAAAGATGAGCTTTTTTGTTTTTTTAAAAAAATATTTTTCAAGTCTTTTGCTAGTGAGGCTTCTACAGTATTTGCTAATATATCTTATCTTTACTAAAAGAATGATTTTTCTTCATCTGCTCAGGGCAAGAACTTGCTTGACCATGAAGAAAGCTAGTACATGCATCTGCACTGGACAAAATGCCACATCTTATAACAGAAATTTTATAACTCAGGGAGATACTTTTTTAAGCTTCCATGAAATCCTATCCAATTCAATATGTAACCATAGAGCAAAGATTAGAAATGAACTTGAGGTCTCTGTACTCCAAGAACTCACCATTTTGAGCAGGGGGAGGTGTTATGGATTTACCATACAAAGACATACTGAAAAACTTTAATATAAAGCCAACTGTGACAAGGACTATAACAGATTAAACCCAATAGGTTTAGAGTTGGCTTTTTAAAAATTAAATGTTTATTTATTTTGAGAGAGACAGAGAGAGCAGGGGAAGGGTGGAGAGACAGAAAGAATCCCAAGGAGGCTCTGCATTATCAGTGTACAGCCTGATCCAAGGTCTTAATCTCATGAACTGTTTGATCATGACCTGAGGGAAAAGCAACCTGCTTAACCGACTGAGCCACCCAGGCACCCAAAGTCGTCTTTTCATAAGAGGTATTTGAGCTGTGTCTTGAAAGCTCAACAGGACTTTGAAGATGAGGGGAAGGGCATTCGGGACAGAACAAAGTATATGAACAAAGGCACAAAGTTCACTTGGAGAGAGGAGGCAGAAATGTGACTAACACCTAAGGAGGCTGCTGTGGAAAAACCAGTGTGGTAGAAGGATAGAAGGAACCCAAATCCTCTAAGATTAAGGATTGGGATTTTACTCATAACGTAAATTTTGGGGAGAGTTTTAGGGGAGCATCAAAGGTAGCTGCTAAATAAAGGAATGCCATTGTCTGGGTTAAGTCTTAGAAAACTAATTGTCAGAAGAGAACTAAAGAGACACAAAGCTACCACCACATTCAGGTGAGAGATGAAAAACCCAGGACTTGAGCAGAGGAAGTATAAAAGCAATGCCTATGGTAAGTAAGGGACAGAAGGGAAACACTAGAAAAGCCAAGCACTGGGATTTGGCTCCTGATTAGATGCTGGGGGGCTTAAGGGTCAGGAAGAGAGTGCTCAGATGAGTCTAAAGTTCAAGCCTTAGGAAGAAACAGGATGTAAGATGAGAATGAAAGAGATGAAGGACAGAAAGTAGAACAGACTATAACTATAATGAAAAAGACTAGCTGAAGATAGATGCAGCATGCCTAACAGAAAACACAATTATGTGAACAATTTAAAAATAACTGATTATTCAGTATTGACTATATGCTATCTACTTAAAACTAAACAAACAGACACTTTAAGTATCTGAAAATGTCAGCTGAAGGGAGAGAATCAGAAGATCCTTCATAACCTGACACTAACTGGGGAGAAAATGTAGCCAAAGGTAACATTTACTATATATACTGCTTTCAAGTTGCTTTAAAATTTTTTTACCTTTCTAGAGATTACGGATCCTCCCCATTCTTTTTCATAACCACACTTGCTATATACTACACAGATGTGCCACAACTTATCAATTTATCAATCTCCTTCTGAAGGATTTAGGTGGGGAGAGGAAAAATGCATCAGTGTTGTCGAATAGCCAAGAACATGCAGGAAGAAACCGATGCTTCATATCACCCTATAGATCATTTCCTCCACTATAGTTTTATTTTTTATTTTTTTGACTCAAAGTCTGCTGGAAGAGACACAGACACATAGAAAGCAGCTGCCCATTCTGGCATTGTTTTTTCTCACAGCAGGCACATATTGTCCCAACCAGGCAGGCTGTTTGCTATTAAGCACATAAACTGACAGTTATTTTTTGAGGTTTGATTTTTGTTAAATAGAATCCTGAACATGAGGGGCCACCATGAACTAGACCATGGCCAGAGCTCCCAAGTTAGAGCCAGGGTCAAGGTATACTTCCCCTAGTTGTAGCAGCTGCAAAAACAAAAACAAAACAAAAAAATAGGCTTATGGAAAAATCATAAGACAACTTAGGTATAGGCATTTATTACATTTAGCTTCAACATACCTCAAATTCCAGATAGTGATCTTTCAGTCTGTATTCATCTATCTCCTTGGCTTTAACTTTCTTGTCTGGGGGATATGAGCGGTGTTCAGCCAGCTCAGTGGTAATCTGCTTCAGTTTGCTTTCATGAGATTTCAGCTGTTCTTCCTGCAGGATTTTATTAAAGTTATTTAGCATGCAGAAAATAAATCAATAAAAAAATCACAGAGTACTTTTAAAAATCCCTTATGATGAATGACTTCAATTCATCAAAACAGTCCAATGTGCCTCGGCTGCCACATCTTACCAACTTTCTCAGGCTAGTACTCACACATACCTTTGCAAAATGACAACCAGTCCCCTTGTTATAAAATCAAATACTTTTCAGAGCCTCTTATCAAATATATCGGTCATGAAGTTGAGAACAGGCTTCCTGAGAAATAATCCGAAAGGCAAGGTACCAGTTAAATACTTAAGAGTCCCACATAATTTGGCTTTACTATTTCCTGTCCACTCAGCAATGCTGCTAATTCCCCCCTGTCAGTCACAAGGAATGAAAAGCCTCTGTTTAGCTTTTTTTTTTCTTCCCTTTTTGAGACAAGCAATGCCACCAAGAAATAATTCTCTCAAAGCTATCCATATTCTAAAAATTGCAGCAACCTATGTTTCTTTCCCCTCCAAAGTAGAAGAGGTTCTAATTTCTTTCAATAATAAAATCTTATTGATCCAAAGTAGTGATTCAAATAAATGCTCCTATAGAGAAATTATTGCCTGAACACTGTCACTATAGGCACCATGCACCAATGCAACACGGTTGATCCTATGCTAAAGAATTTACATACTAGGGGCAACATTTTTATCACCTTATAATAATGAAAGACACCATCAAATCCTCTGGCAACATTTTAAAAATGAAACAGAGAGATTGGAATTTTCTTACATTCCTAAAGTTATATGACTGCTTTGTTTACTGTTCTACATTCACATATATGTTATCCAAATTCTTGCTGACTATAAATTTCACATGTACAATAAGAAATAAATGAATATAATAATGAAAAGGAACTGATTAAACTAAGTGATAAATATAATTTGATAACACCATAATTTCTTTTCCTTTTTGTTTTTAAGGGCAGACAAAAGGAATTTCCCTCCTTCATAAAGTTCTTACTTTTGGACTTATCAATTTGTACTCTTTATAAAAGACACAGCAATAAGAGAAAAAAAAAAGATGAGTTGTTTCCTACTGGTTCCAAAATTCATGTCACCCTAGATGATCACGAGATGAGTTAAAGGTACAAAATTACATGCACAATAAACCATCACAATTCCCAGTTGAATTCTTTCCATATGGTATTTTTGTAAATTAAAATTACTAATTAAATCCAAGATCAGTAAGTAGTTGCCAGGTAATGAAAAATTTAAACCTTAAAGTAACTGTAATTAATCTGGCAACTTAACCTTGCAATTCAAATCGAGTAGAATAATTTAGAAGTGAAAAGTCCTAACAATTTTAATTTATGATGTAGGAGTATATTGATAAACAGTAAAACCGTGGTTTGAGCATAACTTGTTTCAGAAACATGCTTGCAATTTAAAGCACTTGTATATCAAAGTGAATTTCTCCATAAGAAATAATGGAAGCTCAGAGACGCGTGTATCATGCTGATTGATTTGTGGATAATTAATCATACCTGCAGCGCAGGAATAAATTCTACTTGATCGTGGTGGATAATTCTTTTTATGTACTGTTGGATTTTTATTGCTAGCATCTTGCTAAGAATTTCATCAGGGATACGGATCTGTAATTCTCCTTTTTAGTGAGGTCTCTGGTTTTGGAATCAAGGTAATCCTGGCCTCATTGAATGAGTTTGGAAGTTTCCCTCCCATTTCTATTTTTTTTTTTTTGGCATCTCTAAATGTCATCTTTTAAAATTTAAATTTTAGTTAACAGAACAGTACAATATTGGTTTCAGAAGTAGAATTCAGTGATTCATCACCTATATACAACACCCAGTGCTCATCATATCAAGTGACCTCCTTAATACCCATCACCCATCCAGCCCATCTCCCACCCATGTCCTTCCATCAACCCTCAGTTTGTTCTCTATCATTAAGAGTCTCTTGTAGTTTGTTTCCTTCTGGTCTCTTCCCACCCCTCCTTACCATATGCTCATCTGTTTTGTTTCTTAAATCCACATGGGTGAAATCATACAGTATTTGTCTTTATCTGACTGACATATTCGCTTAGCATAATAGTTTATCTCTGCCCACATTGTTGAAAGTGGCATGATTTCATTCTTTTTGATGGTTGAGTAATAGTCCATTTTATATAATAAATATATATTTATACTTTTATATATTATATATTATTTTTATAATATTTATATTTTATAATATTTATATTTTATAAAAATATTAAAAAAATATATACATCACATCTTCTTAACCAGTCATCAATTAATGGACATTTAGGCCCTCTCCATAGTTTGGCTATTGTTGATAATGCTGCTCTAAACATTGGGGTGCACGTACCCCTTTGAATCTGTTTTTTTGTATCCTTTGGGTAAATACCTAGTAGTACAATTCCTGATCAGAGGGTAGTTCTATTTTCAGTTTTTTGAGGAACCTCCATACTGTTCTCCAGAATGGCTACACTAGTTTGCATTCCCACCAAGAATGTAAGAGGGCTCCCCTTCCTCCACATCCTTGCCAATACATGTTGTTTCTTGTATTGTTAGTGTTAGCCATTCTGAAATGTGTGAGGTGGTATCTCATTATGGTTTTGATTTGTATTTCCTTGATGATGTGCAGAGTTGAATATATTTTCATGGGTCTTGTAGCCATCTGGATATCTTCTTTGAAAAAGCGTCTGTTAATAGCTGCTTCCCATTTCTTAACTGGGTTGTTTGGTTTTGGGTATTGAGTTTGGTAAGTTCTTTGTAGATTTTGGATACTAACCCTTTATCATATATGTCATTTACAAATATCTTCTCCCATTCTGTTGGCTGCCTTTTAGTTTTGTTGATTGTTTCTTTTTTTTAAATTTATTTCTGAGAGAGAGAGAGAGAGAGAGACAGCATGAGCAGGGGAGGGTCAGAGAGAGAGGGAAACACAGAATCTGAAGCAGGCTCCAGGCTCTGAGATAGCTGCCAGCACAGAGCCTGACGCAGGGCTTGAACCAATTAACTGTGAGATCATGACCTGAGCCAAAGTTGGATGTTCAACCGACTGAGCCATCCAGGCACCCCTGTTGATTGTTCCCTACACTGTGGCAGAAGGCTTTTATTTCATGAAATTCCAGTAGTTCGTGTTTGTTTTTGTTTATTCATGGCAAATAATTTTTTTAATGTACTGTTGAATTTAATTTGCTAGTATCTTGTTGAGAATTTTTGCATCCGGGTTCATCATGGATGAAAGATTAGGTTGTGTATTTGGGACTTTTCTTTCCTTAGATAGGCCTGAATTGCAAAGTACTTTACTGTCAGGACTGCCTTTGCTGCATTCCAAAGGGTTTGGACTGTCATTTTCATTTGCTTCCATGTATTTTTAAATTTCTTCTTTAATTTCTGGTTAACCCATTTATCTTTAGTAGGATGTTCTTTAACTTCCATGTATTTGAGGGTTTTCCAAAAATTTTTTTGTGGTTAACTTCAAGTTTCATAGCTTTGTGGTCTGAAAATATGCACAGTATGATCTCAAGTCTTTTGGTACTGGCCGAGGCCTTATTTGTGACCCATATGTGATCTACTCTGGAGACTGTTCCATGTGTACTCTAAAAGAATGTATATTCTGCTGCTTTCGTGTGAAATGCTCTGAATATATAACAGTATGTTTCCTTTATATGGTATTATAATAAACATTCTATAAAATTGTTAGTGGAAGCCTTAGAAAAGAATAAGGTCTGTTTGGAGAACAGCATTTATCATTGCTCAAAATACTTCAAAAAATGGTGCAGATTTTAAGACTTAAGATTTACTGGTCTACAATAAATAGTGCTGTTCCTTAGGCCACACTAGGTGGTTGATGATGGTTTTGTATAGGGCCATGATATTGTCTCTGTCCAGAGGTTGAGGAGGTTATGACGGCCCTCCATCTAAGTAGTGGAGCCCAATATCTCAAACCCCCAAAATGGAGGGAGAGGATGCCGCAGTAATGTCATCCCTTTAGTCCCACTAAGTTGATGCCTTGGCCTATAATTTCAAAATATAAACATTTTATATCAAGGGGGAATTATTTATTTATTTATTTATTTATTTTTTTACAAATAGTTTATTGTCAAATTAGTTTCCACATAACACTCAGTGCTCATCCCCATAAGTGTCCTCCTCTATGCCCATCCCCCCTCCCCCCCACATCCATCAGTCCTCAGTTTTTGTCAGCATTCAAGAGTCTCTCATGGTTTGCCTCTCTCCCTTTCCCCCACCATTTCCGCCCTTCTTCTCCCCCTTGTTCCTCCGTCAAGTTCCTCCTAATCCTCCTATACGTGCAAACATATGATATTTGTCCTTCTCTGCCTGACTTATTTCGCTCAGCATAACACCCTCAAGGTCCATCCATGTTGCTACACATGGCCAGATTTCATTGTTTCTCATTGCCATGTAGTATTCCATGGTATAGATAAACCACATCTTCTTGATCCATTCATCTGTTGATGGACACTTAGGCTCTTTCCATGTTTTAGCTATTGTGGAGAGTGCTGCTATGAACATTGGGGTACATGTGCTCCTATGCCTCAGCATTTCTGTATCCCTTGGGTAAATTCCTAGCAGTGCTATTGCTGGGTCATAGGGGAGTTCTATTGTTAGTTTCCTGAGGAACCTCCACACTGTTTTCCAGAGGGGCTGTACCAGTTTACATTCCCACCAACAGTGTAGGAGGGTGCCCGTTTCTCCACATCCTCGCCAGCATCTAGAGTTCTCTGATTTGCTCATTTTAGCCACTCTGACTGGCGTGAGGTGGTATCTCAGTGTGGTTTTGATTTGTATTTCCCTGATGAGGAGGGATGCTGAGCATCGTTTCATGTGTCTGTTGGCCATCTGGATGTCCTCTTTGGAGAAGTGTCTGTTCATGTCTTCTGCCCATTTCTTCACTGGGTTGTTTGTTTTTCGGGCGTGTAGTTTGGTGAGTTCCTTATAGATTCTGGATATTAACCCTTTATCTGATAT